CTGCCCAGCACCCTCACACCCCCCGCACCCCCTACTGGGGCAGAGCGAGGTTGCCCAGCTGCCCAGCACCCTCACACCCCCCCGCACCCCCTCCTTGGGCAGAGCAAGGTTGGCCAGTTGCCCAGCACCCTCACACCCCCCTGCACCCCCTACTTCACAGCAGCTGGGTCCCACCCAGGGAGTCTACCTCCCATCCACATCCCCGGCCACCGAGCCCTCTGGCTCCAGGTCCTGGGAACGCTAGAGACAGTCTCTCCGCAGCCTCCTCTGTGCAGCCAGCCCCAGCCCCCAGAGGCAGGGGAGAAAGGAGAATTCTTAGACCAAGGTGGGGGCAACCCCGCCTCCTGGCCTGCTTAGGGAACCAGAGCCCTGCACGGAAGGAGCTCATGAGGGTGCCTGCCTCTGCTGGGCCCACTGACCACCCCGCCTCGTCCCCACAGAGGTCTTCAACTCCCTGTGCACAACACAGCTTGCACGGACCTGCTGCAGGGTGGTGGCAGGGAGCACAGGGCATGGCTGCCCGTCACCCTGGGACACAGCCTGACAGACAGTGCCTATGGCTGTCACCTGGGTAGGCATTAGCAGTACTAGCACCAGAGAAGACTGTGGGGTCAGCCAGTGGCCTCCCCCCCACCCCCGCTGGCCCCCCACTTCCACCTCCTGAGTCTCACTTGGAGGTTTCCAGATACTGAAAGGTCACGGGAGCGTGGGGAGCCGTGGCTCTGCCCTGTGGCCGGCGCCTCTCAGACCCACTTTGCGGTGCACACCCGGCACTTTCTGCAGCAGGTGGGGCTCCACCCCACCTCGGGCTCCCCCACCCCTCGGTTCAGTTCCAGTGGTCTCTGGTCCACCTCACTAAGTGTCTGCAGAGGGTGGGGGGGTGTGTCAGCCACTGAGACAGGGCCAGGGAGGAGCTGGACTAAGTGGCTTCCAGAGTGGTAAGCTGTGGACCACGCGTGCTTGGGCAGCCCTGGGGAGGCTGACCAAGAGGAGGGGACCACAGGTGGCCCAGCTCCACTCTGTCCAATACAAGGCAGTGAAGATCAGCTCTCAGCTGCAGGCCACAGGCACCCACCTCCTCTGCTCATCAGCACTGGCCAGGTTCACCAAACAACCCTGAGCCAGCGACCACGACCCCTCTGGCCTGGTGCTAATGCCTGGGGACAGAATCTCCCTTTTTTCTTTGGTGAGACTTGAACTAGCAGGAAGCTAAATATGCATCAGAAGAGACTGAGGTGTGCTGGATAGCAGGACTTCCTGGAAATGAGAGGGAATGTCCAGGGAATGTCCTCGCTGTGTGTCCGCTCCTCCAAGGGCAGCATGAGCTGAGGCCAGGTGAGTTAGGCAAGCGAGACAACCAGAGCCAAAGGCACTCAGTCTCCTAAACAGGACCAAGTCCCTGGGCAGGGGCGTAAGTTAGCCACATGCGCAGTGGAGATGGCCCTGCTCCTCCTCAGAGCCTGGGGGGAGAGGAGAGGAGATGGAGACACCATGTGCACCCCCAGCCAGGCCAGGGCAGCACCTCTCGGGGACACTGGCAGCCGGGACGGTGGGCCAGGTCATCCTGCAGGCCAGGAAGAGGCCAGGCCCCGGGGTCGGGCAGTGCTCCCTGTCCAGTGTCCGGGCCTCACAGCGCTCTGCCCCACCTCGCCACAGCCTCTCCCAGAGATGGAATACAACGGGAACCCCGAGTCCGTGGGCTACAAGATCAAGTACAGCCGGTCGGACGGCCACGGCAAGACGCTGAGCCACGTGGTGCCGGACCGCGTGGAGCGGGAGTACACCATCGAGGACCTGGAGGAGTGGACCGAGTACCGCGTCCAGGTCCAGGCCTTCAACGCCATCGGGAGCGGGCCCTGGAGCCAGACGGTGGTGGGCAGGACCCGGGAGTCAGGTACCCGCCTCCCGTCCCTGTCCCTCTGCCCTCAGAGGCCAGCAGGCGGGGACAGTCCTCAAGCAGCCTGAGCAGTGTCCCTCTGCCCAGTGCCGGGCAGACCGTCCCCACTGCAGGGGCAAACTGCCCCTCCCCACCCTCAGCGATAGCCCTGACGCCCTGCGGTGCTGGGAAGAGCCCAAGATGGAGTCCAGGGAAGGGGTCACCCTCAGAACATTCCAGAAACAGAACCAGCAGCTCCTTTGGGGCCTGCCCAGGGGTCACCCATAGAACAGGAGCCCAGCCTCAGGGAGCCCTCGTGTCCAGCAGGTCACCACCTGGGGCTTTCTCCTGGTCCTTTACATGACCAGGACCTTCGGGGGCCTCCTGGTCCCTGTCCCTGTCCCTCCTCCCGGCACAAGCTCACTGAGGTCAGTCAGAGCAGAGGACAATGAGGGAGGCAAATCAGAAACCAGAACAGCATCTGGACATCCTCAAACCAAAGACCTCAGAGCAGAGTGACCGCCGGGTTGTCCTCTGAGGGAGCCGGCCCCTGGAGCAGCTCCCCCGCCCCCGCCCTGCTCCCCTCCCTCCACTGCAGAGGGCCTCGGTCAGTTCTCGCTCTCCGCTCCCTCCCTCCCTCAGTCCCGTCCTCTGGCCCCACCAACGTGTCCGCACTGGCCACCACCTCCAGCAGCATGCTGGTTCGCTGGAACGAGGTCCCCGAGGCAGACCGCAATGGGCTGGTGCTGGGCTACAAGGTGAGTCTCAGGACCAGAGGAGGGGGGGTCCCTGCACTGGGCACCAGCCTCTCCATCCAAGGTGTCCTGCCTCGTCACCCGCAAGGCCTCTGCCTTCTAGAGTGGATATGGGGTCTGCCTGGCTTCCCGTCAACCAGGAGTCCCCCCCCCTTAGGGGTGGGGAAACAGGGCCAGGTCCTTAGGGCTGTGCCCCTTCTTCCAAGAGGCCACGCTAGGGGGCCCAGCCTGGCTCAGCTGTCTTTGTATTCATCAGGTTTTCGTTACTGTAACAAAGCACCCAGGACAGGTTCTCTTATAAAGAGGTTTAGGTCACAGCTGGGGAGGCTCAAGAACATGGTGTCTGCATAGGCTCTGCTCTGGTGAGGGCCCTCTCAGCTATGTCACACTGTGGCAGAGGGCCCCAGCAGGAGTTTGCTGGAAAGATGGTCACGTCTTAGTCACATCTGGGTACAGGAAACTTGGGAGAGCTGAGCGAGGCCAGGCTCGGGCCTCTGTGACAGTCTCCTGTGGAGCTCCCAAGGGGTCACATGAGAACTACGTCAGTCCTGCCTGAGGTTAGGGCACACCCCTCGAAGGTCCCATCGGGCGGGGACCCAGCACCCATGCATGGGCCCTCCAGGGCCTCTGGAGTTTCCTTACAGCTGCTCCAGCCTGACCTGGGACCTGGCAGACTCCTTGTCCCCTGTGTCCCTCCTCCCGTGAGCCTGAGGAGGCCACACTCCCTCCCAGCCCGCGTGCCCACCCGAGGCTCCTCAGTGGCCGTCCAGCTTTACAGCCGCGCAAGCCCCGGGTCCCGGCCCTCTGGGTGCACAGCTTTGCGGTCACGCGAGGTGCCCCCGTCCCCACACGGGCTGCTCCTGGGCGCGAGCCCCTCCTGAGGTCCTCCCTGTGCCGGGCCCTGGCAGGTGATGTACAAGGAGAAGGACTCGGACTCCCAGCCCCGGTCCTGGCTGGTGGAGGGCAACGCGTCCCGCAGCGCCCAGCTCACGGGCCTGGGCAAGTACGTGCTGTACGAGGTGCAGGTGCTGGCCTTCACGCGCATCGGGGACGGCAGCCCCAGCCACCCCCCCATCCTGGAGCGGACGCTGGACGATGGTGAGTCCAAGTCCCAGCGAGTGGGGAACGCCGGCGGGGGCCACCTTCCTCTGCCCGCCCGGCCTCACCCCGGGATCCGGCTCTGCCCACGGGAGCCGGCTCTGCCCACGGGAGCCGTGGCCTCAGGCTCCTCCTGTGGGGAACCGGTCACTAGGGGCTACCAAGTCTCTGCAAGGGGACACTGATCACAGCCTGCGTGTCCCTAAGGACGACGTGAGGATGGGCGGAGAGCTGGTCCTGTCTGTGGGTCTCTCTCCAGGGCCAGTGTAGGATCGGGGACTGTGCACCCGTTTGATCTCTGTCTTGTCCAGGGCAGGTTTGCTTGAGTGACGTCTGTGAAGGGAAAGTCTTGGAGGACTTTCCAGAGCAGGAAACTCCTGGTTCTCTTTCCAACAAAGTCACAGGAGCCGAGTACTAGCATTCGTCCCTCCAGCAAAGCCCCGGGGCCAGGCGGACCCACGGGTCCTGGCCCCTCCCTCTCCCTCGCCCATCCTCACGCCCTGCCCACCACAAAAATGCCCAGATGCACACAGGAGCGTGGGAGGAAGCCAGCGCCAGGTGCGGGTCCTCTGAAGTCATAAATCAAGCTAATGGACGGTTGAGTTAACTCTACCCTATCCTCCTGCCTGGACAAGTCCACGGGTACAGGGACCTGGAGGGCCAGCTTCAGGCTTGGAAACCTGGGACCTCTTGGCGTCCTGTGCTGGGAGGGGGCATCACCCCCACACACCCCCACCCACCTTCTTCCCACCACACCCCTCAGTCTCTGCCCATACCCCCAGTAGAGCTGTCCTTGGCCATGCCTGGGTTCGAGGGTACAGTCTGCCCCCAGGAGGTGGCTCTGAGGACCCTGGATGCATGCTTGGGGTGGTCTGAGTGGGAATTCCAGAGGAGATCTAGAGAGACAGATGTGCAGGCTCAGGGTGGTGCTTACTTACCATCGCCCCCCCCCAGCCGCCCCCCATAGTGGACGGAAGTCAGAGCAGGGGCTCTAACCCAGACCAGCTGGCGCGCAGCTCAGCGCAGGCGCTGACCTAGTACAAGCAAGGCCCTGGTTCCGCCCCCAGCACTGCAAAACAGAAGTCAATAAAATCTAAAGATGAAGCCCAGCCCCAGGCCAGGGCCCGTCTGCCAGGTCCTAAGGGTGTGCACAGACCAAGCTGGAGCCCCGGGTGCCACCAAGATCACCTGCTGGGAGGGCAGGACCCTCACTCCACCTTCTACACACCCATCTTGAGGACAGAAGTCTCCCCGAGCTCATTTTTTGTCACTTGTCCCTGACCGGGTACTGGCCCGAGCAGCTGTCCATAGCGCTCACTGAGCTGCACGGAGTAACCCTGTCCCCCTCCACCCGCCGGTCTCCTCTGCTGCAGCTGGACATGCTTGAGGCTGAGCAGAGCCTGTCAGCCTCTTCCCTTGTGTCCCCTCCAGTCCCAGGACCACCCATGGGCATCCTGTTCCCGGAGGTGAGGACCACGTCAGTGCGGCTGATCTGGCAGCCCCCCGCCGCCCCCAACGGCATCATCCTGGGTAAGCCCAGCCCCTCCGGAGCCCCGTCTGCAGGAAGGAGGGGGAGGCACGTTCAGTGATGGCGAGAGGGGAGCAGGGGCCACAAGTGTCCGCGGCCCTTGAGAGTGGGACCCGAGTCTCGCTTCCCCGGCTGCAAGTTCCTGCCTGTTGCATGATCTGCTGCAGGACCAGACCAAGTTCAGACCCCAAGGACACTGGCTGGGGCCGTGCCTCTGAACACCAGTCCTCAGCCTCTGAGCACCTCGTAAACCTCCTCGGCTGTTCCCTGGGGGGCCACGGGATGCACTGGCCGGTCCAGCCCAGCCATGCTCACAGCTGGGCCTGCACCCGGGAGGGAGGCCGCAGACCAGAGGCCCACTTCCCGCTCCAGCTTCCCTGGACACACACTCCCAGAGCCGAAGGCAGGGCTGAGCAAGTCCACTCCCCAGTGGCCTCTGCACCCTCACCTTTACAGTGGTGGCTTGCCAGGCCTGGTGGCCTCCGGGCTTCTGGGGTCCCAGCCACTGGGAGCTGAGCAGGAGGATGTCCTGAGCCCAGGGGCTCCAGGCCGGCTGGCAACAGAGCGAGCCCCAGTTTCTAAGAAATTAAAAGTGAAGCAGAAACTCACACGTGCACACCCACAGACGGAGGGTGCACACCCACGCCTGGACGTGCCGGGCCTGTGCCGGCCGTGCTCTGGGGAACCCCACGCCTCACAAGACAGTGAGCAGGGCCGCCTGCCCTTGGCCCAGAGACCCAGGCTGGAATCCAGCTCGGCCGCTTCCCAGCGGGCTCTGCCTCCTCTCGGGGCTGACGTTCACACCCCCGAGTCCACACTCCCCCAGGGCCACTGAGGTTTGTAAGTGACCCCAGGGCTCCAGGCAGACAGGACCCCGCCCAGCGCCCAAGTGCAGACACTGCTGAGGCTGCGGAGGGAAGGACCTGCCTCCAGGGCCGCCCTCTCCCCCTTACCCACAGCCTACCAGATCACACACCGGCTCAACACCACCACCGCCAACACCGCCACCGTGGACGTGCTGGCCCCCAGCGCCCGCCAGTACACAGCCACCGGCCTCAAGCCGGAGTCCGTCTACCTGTTTCGCCTCACCGCCCAGACCCGCAAAGGCTGGGGAGAGGCCGCCGAGGCCTTGGTGGTGACCACCGAGAAGAGAGGTGACCGACCGCCCACGGGGGGCCGGGGAGGCCTGGGTGGGGGGCAGCCAGGTCCTGGCCTGGAATGGCGAGTGAGCTCCAGCCAGGTGGGTGTGGCACACCTGCCATCCCAGCACTCAGAGGCAGGAGGATCGACAGTTCAAGGCCAGCCTGGGCAATTTAGGGAGGCCCTAAGCAATTGATTGAGACCCTGTCTCTAAATATAAAGGGGGACTGGGGTGTGGCTTGGTGGTCAAGGGCCCTGGGTTCCAGGAAAAGGAACAAAGGACACGGGTCTGGCCCAGAGACACACTCCTGGGACTCGGGCAGCCTGGCAGGTGCCTGACCAGAGGCAGAGGTGCTGGCTACAGGGTGGGGACCCTGCAGGGTCTGGGTGCATGGAAACGGGGGGTGGCACTGCTCATCTGCCCTGCCCCTCCGCCGCCTCCCAGACCGCCCGCAGCCCCCCAGCAAGCCCACCGTGCAGCAGGAGGACGTGAAGGCGCGCAGCGTGCTGCTGTCCTGGGAGCCGGGCAGCGACGGGCTGTCCCCTGTGCGCTACTACACCATCCAGACCCGCGAGCTGCCCGGCGGCAGGTGGGCGCTGCACTCGGCCTCCGTGAGCCACAACGCCTCCAGCTTCACCGTGGACAGGTGAGGCGGGTCCCCCCAGCAGGGCCACTGTCCCCACTCCTCCCCCCCACCCTCCCCGTCGGGGCCACCTCTTTGGTACTTCTGGAGCCTGGCGTCTCCCCTTCAGGAGGAGGAGCCTGCAGCCCTCGGGGGCGACTCTGCCAGGGCCAGCCTCCCTCCTGACTCTGGCTCCTCCCGCCCTGCCCCTCCTCCCGCCTGCCCTCCATCAGGAACACATTCACTTGCTGGGAGAGGAAATGGACCTCCAGAGGCCACTCTGGCTCTCCCTGGAGAGCCCTGCTCTCCTCAGCTCCGGGCTCAGGACAGGAAGAGCCGTCACCCGGAGGGGGGTCTGGGTGGCCTTGTGACTGCCTGGGCCTCCCGAGCTGGGCCTGGGGACCCGTGGCTTATGATTGCAGCTAAAGGGCCCCCGTGAGGCATGGCCGGGCTCTTGGTCCAACTTGACCCCTCTGTAAGAGGGGTCCTTTCTGAGCCTCAGTGTCCCCATCTGCCTGGGGGGTCTGCCCCGCTTCCCTGAGCAGAGATAGATCAGTGGGACTGTGGCTGGACAGGGTCTTCGGGGGTCCTCCATCACTGAACCCCAACCCCCCGCCCCCGACAGGCTCAAGCCCTTCACATCCTACAAGTTCCGAGTGAAGGCCACCAATGACATTGGGGACAGCGAATTCAGCGAGGAGTCGGAATCACTGACCACCCTGCAGGCCGGTCAGTGCTCCTCCCCAACTTGGGTCTCTTGCTGTTGGCCCTCGGCTGCTTCCTGGCACTGAGGGGCCCCTTCTGGGGGGGGACAGGCCATGGGCTGCTGGGCCCTTCCACCTCCAGGGCAGAACCCCCAGGTGGTGAGGGCGGAGGGGCCTTTGCCGGGGCTCAGGTCCCAGACCCAGCCGGACATTCACATGCATCCGTCAGACGTCTCGCCAGCTCCTGAGGAGGGGCAGGACCAGCCCAGGAGGCCTGTGGCTCTCGGGACCGTTGGTCTGGACTGGGTCCCTCTCTCCCTCTGCACTGGCCCTTTGTTCTGCGGAGGTTGGGTGGTGGGCACACGGCGGTGACTTGGTCCACTGTTGGTGGAGTCTGGGCCCCACGGCTCCCTAGGGCCACCTGACCAGAGCCACCTGTCCGTCTCTCCACAGCCCCTGAGGAAGCGCCCACCATCCTCTCGGTGACACCCCACACCACCACCTCCGTGCTCATCCGATGGCAGGTAGGGGCAGCCGCGGGGGGCTCCCAGGGGGGCTCAGACGAGCTTCGCCCTGGGAACAGAAAGCCAAGACCCCCCAGGGCACCCGGGGCCCCAGGTTCTGCCCCCTAGAGCACACGGAAAGGCAGGACACAGGGACCCCAGCAGGCGTGTGCCGGTCACAGGACACTCTGCACACCCCACACACCTGCTCCCCTCTCCAGAGACACCAGGCAGTGCCGGCACCCTGCGGGGATGCAGGAGGGGACACACAGGGCCCCAGGTCACACAGCTTGTGAGTGGCAGGGTCGGGTTTATAAACCCGTGTCTTCTAAATCCTTGGGCAGAAATGTCCTTGGGACTCCCAGGATCCCTCAGGTCCCCGGACTCAGCGGCCAGTGCAGGGGTCCCTTCCACGGGAGCAGGAGCCCACCGTGCCCGTGGAGGAAGCGCCCCTCCTCCGTTGCCCTCCGGCTGCCTGCTCTTTGGTGGGCACCGCTGTCCTGCCAGGCCTGGGGAGGATTCTGGGCAAACCTCGCAGACCAGTCGGCCCTGGTATCCTGCCCGTCAGGACCCTCCTGCGCCCTCTGCAGGCCAGCCTCTGGCTCAGCAGGTCACCCGCAGACCCCAAGGTGGCTGCCTCTCGGGATCAGAGGGGCGGGCACCAGGTTGTGCCCGTGTGTGGCTGAGGCACGGCCCGCAGAGGGGACACGACCTTCAGTGGGAATGCCCTGGTACACACAGGAGCAAGGGAAAGGAGGGGCCAGAGCAGACTGGGGCCAACGTGGCCCGCGAAGGGGGCAGGGAGGTGCAGGCAGCAGCCAGGAAAGCAATTAAGGAGCCGATAAAAGGCTGAACCATTTCAGCAGGTTTTGTAAAAGAGGTGTCATAAAAAAGTAGCTCCCATCTTCTCTGGAAGCTTCTTCTCCAACTCAGCTTGGACGGGAGCAGAGAGCAAAGGAGAAAATGATGGTGGGGGGTGGGGCAGCACACATGGGCACACTCACCCTCCCCTGTGCCGAGGAGCAGGGAGAGGGCTCTGCTGGCAGGAAGTGCTGGCCAGGTAGTCAGGAGGGCTCAGCAGGCCTGGGGAGAGCCGTGGAAGGGCTTCCTGGCCAAGGAACAGCTAGGACGTCCAGAGTTGTACTTCCAGTGCTGTGTGATCGTGAGCAAGTGCCTTAAGGTCTCTGAGCCTTGGTTTCCTTCCCTGTTGGAGGGAACTGCATGGTGGTTCTGGCCTTTCCCTGCCTTCCAGGGAATGCTGGGTGACTCAGCCGCCTCGTTGGAAACGCTTTGCGAATTAAAGATGCGCCATGTTACTTTGGTTTCTTCATGTCGAGGCACAGCCCTCCCTCTGGGCTGCAGGAGGCATGATGGGGGAGAGGGCGGCGTGGGGTGAGCAGCGACCCGGGCCCCACTCATGTCTTACCCCCTTCCCTGCAGCCCCCGGCGGAGGACAAGGTCAATGGCATCCTCCTGGGCTTCCGCATCCGGTACCGGGAGCTGCTCTACGAGGGGCTGAGAGGCTTCACTCTCAGAGGCATCAACAACCCTGGGGCCAAGTGGGCGGAGCTCACCTGTGAGTGACATCTGAGGGTGGGGCACCCTCCTCCTGCTCTGCCCTGGGCTTCCTGAAGCCCCCTAACCACTCTGCCTTCCTCCCGTGTGTGCCTTGTCCTGTCCCCACTTTTCACTCCCTGTTCACTGAGCACCTTCTACATGCCCCAAGACCCTGGGTCACACCGTGACGGAGACAAGGTCCCTGCCTCTTGGAGTAGCCCAGAAAGAGGGGTCTAAGGCCCTGGGCAGGGCAGAGAGGGAGGCCGTTCCAGGAGTCCCCGAGCAGGCGGGAGGGACATCTGAGCTTTCCAGGTTAAGGAGGCCAAAGGGACAGAAGCCAGGTCACTCCCCAAGAGCGACTTTCAGGGCCCCTGTCACCTCTAGGGAGTCCCTGCCCTGCCCTGGGCCCTGGGGCTGCAGCCTGTCCCCACAGGAGCAGGAAGCAGCAAGAGGCCCTTGGAGGGCCCAGTGAGAGACCCTGCAGGGCCATCAGCAAGGGACACCGGGGTTGGACTTATGTGTTAGGAGGGTCGCTTTGGTGGCTGAGGGTGATGACTTGGCCGGGGGACGGGGGGCCAGGGGCAGGGAGGCCAGTGGAGTCTGTTGCAGTGAAGTAGCCAAAGCAGGAGGCTGAGCTAGGCTGGCAGGGGGGACGCAGCGGGCGGCCAGTCTGGAGAGGACGTGGCGTGGGTGTCCCCTCCGCAGGGCCCCACAGGGACTCATGGAGGCTCAGGGGAGCAGGCGGGGCACAGAGGACCAGGGTACCAGGCCTGGTGGGGCCACTTGCCAAGAGAGGGGCCTGGGACCTGCCCGACCCCCAAGCCCCCCACAGGTCCCCCCACACGGTGTCTCCAGTGACATGGTCACAGTGACATGTCAGCAGAGCACGCCAGGTGCAGCCCCTAGCAAAGGAGCCTGAGCGTAGAACTAGAAGCACCGGTCCAGGGGCTGGTCCTGGCCCCGCCGCACGGCCTGGATGCGGTCAGCCCGCCGCAGGGCGCCCAAATTTCCTGGTATAAAATTGTTTCTGGTTCATCTGAGAAAACCAACGACCCCGGGATTTAAATGTGGTTTTCCAGGGGCTGTCCCTGGAAACAGGAGAGTGGGTTGGGACTAGAGGGTCCCCAGAGCTGTCCCCAGGGACGCCACCTGGGGCTCCAAGGGGTCCTCGTGACCCTGGGCCAGTGCCCCCGGGAAGGGGCAGCGCTGACCTGCAGCAGCCTCTTCCAGCAGCTCTCCCCGCTCCTCGGTGGCCCTCCTCCCCTCTCGGCTTCCTGGGGTGGGACGTGGCACTAACCTCCTCTGTCTGCTGTCTCTGGCCCCCCGCCCGCTCCCCGTAGCCTTGTACTCCGTGCGGAACCTGAGCCGGCCCAGCCTCACGCAGTGCGAGCTGGACAGTAAGTCTTGCATGGCGGCCCTGGGGCGGCCCAGGCCTCCTCGGGACGGGGAGTGGGTCCTGCAGAACTCCCGCCCCAGGCCCAGGCGCCCCGGGTGCCTGAGGAACAGGACCAGCCTCCACACAAGTGACTCAAACCCAGGACGCAGGAGGCCGTTACCAGGCGGCCCACCCCGTCTCTGTTGGGTGTGGGGTAGGAGCCGGCAGCCTCCTGCGGGTGGGAGATGGTGGCAGGTCTGCAGTAGGAGCTCTGGGTGCCGCTAGGCAGGTGGGCAGGTGTCCACCGATGCTGCCCAATCCGTCCAGTTTGAGGTTCGTCTCAGCCCGCTATCTCCCCTCCCCAGGCCTGCCCTGAGCGCTGGGCTGCGGCTCCCCAGCGGGGCCCAGCCATGGCTCCCCCTGTGCCTGCCGTTCCTGAAGCCCCAGCAGGGATCTTCCCCAGGCCACTCTCACAGGGCCGGGTGCGCGGAAGCCACACCTGTCCAGTCCAGACGCCCTCAACTGTCCCCCTCTGACTGCACAGGGGTCGGCCAGGAGACTCCCCCAGTGCCTAGAACTTCCACCTGGGGAAGGGGGAGGGGAGGGAGCCGGAGAGGGAGGGGTGCAGAGGGCGGGGAACCTCGCAGCCACCCCCACAGGGACAGAGTCTCCCACCTGGATGGATGGAGCCAGCTTTGCCAGGCGTGTCCCCCCCCCAAGCCCCAAACTTGGCCAAACGAGGGGCTTCCGAGGCCAGAAGTCCCATCTGACAAGCCTCCCTCTAGGGCCAAGCGGGGGCTGGCGCTGCAGCTGGGGGCAGAGCGTGCGCTTGGCATCCAAGGGCCCTGAGTCCACCCACAGCACTTCCCCCAGGAAAAGAGCTGGCACACGGGGACGATGGGGCCACAGCTGGGGCAGGGCCGGGAACTTGCCTTCACAGCGGCAGGACATAGGACAAGCAGGGAGCGCCTGTCCCCTGGCCCAGGGCACCCGGGACAGGCTGGGTTTACACAGTTGTCCCAGCATGAATGTTAACAGGGCCCTTTCCATCTCAAGTGCCCTGTGGGATAATGTCCCGTGTCACCCGTGGCCCGGAGGCCAGCAGCCGCGCCTCACATCGGAGTCTGCAGGGGGAGTCAGAGAGCCCCTGGGCGCCTCCTCCCTGTTTTCTCCTGAGCCTTCACACAGGGGCTGGGACTGCGGGGCCTCGTGCCTCTGTGGGCTCCTTCCGGCAGGGACGGTGACCTCTGTCCCCTCCCCACTCTCGCCCGCAGACCTGAACAAGCACAGGCGCTACGAGATTCGGATGAGCGTGTACAACGCCGTGGGCGAGGGGCCCCTGAGCCCCCCGCAAGAGGTGTTCGTGGGGGAGGCGGGTGAGTACCCACCCAGCCCCAGGCGCTCCCACCGCTGGGCTCTCCCTGGAGTCCACTCACCAACACACCACCCCCTCTGCCCCCAGTACCCACAGCAGCGCCCCGAAACGTGGCCGTCCACAGCACCACAGCCACACAACTGGATGTGACCTGGGAGCCACCCCCGCCGGACAGCCAGAACGGAGACATCCAGGGCTACAAGGTAGGGGTTCCGAGAGAGTAGGGGGTGCAGAGGGGCACAGGCAGGACGGGGGCTGGGTGCAGGCCCAGAGGTCCCAGGCCCCTCCTTCTCCACCTTGGCTGTGACCCAAGTCACACAAACATTGTACAGCTGGGACCAACTGACGCTCATTGTCTCCAGTGTCCCGGGGGCAGTGGGCCCAGGTGCAAGAAGTCCAGCCACTCCTCTGCTCTTAGCATCCCTGAGCGGCACCCCTGCCCTGCCAAGCCCAGCCCCAGAACAACGGCCCCTCCTAGGCGTTCTTTGGTCACCTGATCGCAACATTGATACCAATGAGACGCCCAGTGGACAAGCTGCCGCTGGCTCATTTGAAATCTCTGCTCAAGAGTCGTTTCTAGATTTTGGATGATGGCGTGTGTTCTAATGGGTCCCTAAAATTCACGGAGCCCTTTGGAACTCTTCAGTCCTCTCCTCGAAAGCCCGTTAGACAGATGGGTTTGATACCAGTCGCCGTCACACAGATGAGGAAACCAAGCCAGTTCAGGTGACTTTGACACAGAGGAGGAAACCCATTACACAGACCTGGCCCCTGGTGTAGAGGCCCACGGACAGGTGAAGAGACCAAGGCCCTGCGTGGGTAGCCTGTCGAGGTCACAGAACAGCAAAGAGTCAGAATTCAGGCCTCTGGCCAAGGAGCATGTCCCCTTAGTTGGAGACGTTGGGACACGCAGCCTCGGCCAGCTTGGAGGCGTGCGCCACCCCCAGCCAAGGTCGGGTCCACTCTGGTAGCTGGCTGGTCCTGGTCAGTACATGTCCTTCCAGAGAAAAGCCCTGGGCAGCATCCTGGGGTGTGGGCCCGCAGGGTGTGAGCCGCAGGGCCTGGTGACCCCCTGGCCCAGCCACAGCAAGGCCCAGCAAGCCTCCCACGCAGCCCAGGGAAGGCAGAACCCAGGAGGGAGGAGGGCGGAGGGAGGAGGGAGGGAGGAGGGAGGGAGGAGGGCGTCTTGCCAAGGAAGCTCCCGAGATGGATGCCACCCTCCAGGCTCTGCCCAGGCGCGCCAGCTGGGAGAACCCGATCCTGCACCCAGCATATGCCTCCCAAGGAACGGGCAGGGCTCCGCGCGGAGCCAGCGCAGGCTGGCAGCCACCAGACTCTCGAGGTTTGGAAGTTGTGAGTTCACACACAGATCCAGGAAACGTGTGGGCGCCGAGGCACCGCACAGAGCACCCAGGACAGGCACCGGTTCCAGAAAACACCTCGGAACCTGAGCAGCCGCCGTGGCGCAAACCGAGGAAACGGACAGGGCTGACCTCAGCCTTGGTTCACCTGGGGGAGCCACACATTCGTGTCACTGATCCTGCGTTGGGGTCAGGCTGGGTGCCGTGTGCGTGGACGGGCACCTTCATGTGCAGGCCTCGAGCACCGTCTCTCAGTCACTGGTTGACCGGTGTTTATTGAGCAGTTATTTTCTGCCCAGCATTGTTCTCAGTGAGCAAAGAGACAATAGGAGCTTGAGTTTTTAGCGGGGAGGACACCACAAATGTTCAAAATAAGTAATACTGCCAGATGATTCAGCAGGTGGAGGGGAGGGCTTAGATCCAAGGGGGAACCTCAAACTTTAAACAGGGCTGTTAGGGAAGGGCTTAATGAGAAAGTGAGACCTAAACAAAACTTAAAGGAACACAGGGCACAAGGCACATAGACCCAGAAGAGGAACATTCCAGGAAGAGCAAAGGTCCTGGGGTAGGCCAGGCTTTGGAGTGTCCACAGAGCAGCAGAGCGCCCTGTGAGCCCCCAGAGTGACTTGGGGAGCATGACGAGAGATGAGTGCTGAGCAGGCCAGGCACCGAGGGCCCTTGGGGGCTTGGATTTTTACCCCGAGAAAGATGACAGCCCGGGAGGGCTTGGGCAGAGGAGAGACACTGGGAACGTGGTCTTAGAGGGTCACTCTGGCTGCTGTGCTGAGAAATGAAAGGACAGAAACTGGAGGAGTGTCTGATCCAGCCAGGTGAGGTGACCCTGGGACTCACGCCAGGCAGAGCAGCCGTGAGGCGTGGTGGCCTCGGGCTCCGCACTAAAGGCAGAGCCAGAGAAACTGAGGGCCTAGGAGAGCCACCGGACACTCCAGGACCCAGGAGGAAGGGACCCAAGAGGAGGCCGGAGGAGATCCAGGGTCCAGCTCCACATATGTCCAGTGCAAAACCTCTGCTGGACATCTTCAGGACCCTGAAGAGAGGCTGGGGACACAACGGACCTCCAGCTGGCTCTAAGCTGCAGATGTGGACAGTGGAGCCCTCCGCGGGGAGGTTAACAGACATAAAGGAGGTTCTAAGCCTGATCTGAGAAAGGTCGTCCACAGGAAGGCCCTTCTAGAGGGAGGCACCCCACGGCCACCGCCTGGGGGAGAGGAGCAAGGTGCCACCCAGGAGGCAGTCACGTGACGTTAAATGGACATCACACCGATCTCCTTCTGCAGGTCTCGGTTGCTTTCTTAAGATTCTAGAATCCAGGGGGAGGCCAGAGCAGTGCGTCGGGGAGGGTAGGTGAGGTTGTGGCCCAGCGGGGACTGTCCCCCTCCACGTTGTCACGTGTGGGGCCGGGGCGCCCACTTGCCGCCCTTGGGCACCTTGGGGACACTGGGTCAGGTGTCCACGTGGCTGCCGGCTTCTTAGGTTTTTGCACGGCAGGCGCGGAAAAGGGGCCCACCATTAGCTGGCCACTAGCTTTTAGCAATGGAGCTTGAAGGAGCCTTTGACGTGCTGTAGCCAGTCATCTGCACCAGCGTGCACCAAGTACTTGAGGTAGGTGCGGCTGTTGGGCTGGTCGAACCCCGCCACCTTGCTGGCCTCTGCATAGATTCCCGCCAGCGACAAGCCGCTGCTCTCCCAGCTGGCTGTACTTGCCTGGCTGGTTCTTCTTGCAGCTGCTCTTACGCTTGGGGCCACCACGGCCCTTGTCGCCGCCCCCCCCCCATGGCTCCCCTCGGCACCCGGAAGCAGCAGGGCCTCCTCCACCAACATGGTGGCCAGCGGGTTGGTGGCAGGCTGCCCCGGGAAGAGGAAGGTGTCTAATGTATTCTGAGGACTTGCCTGGGCTTGGAGATCCAGGGATGCTTGGAACATGGTCCTGTCCTTAAGGAAACCAGAGGTCATGTGCCAGGCTACAGACTTCTACAGAGGCTTCTGTCCTGGATCCGGAGCCCAGGTGTCTGTGCTAAGCAGAATCTGAAAACAACCCACAGGGAGAACGCGGAGAACCCTGAGAGCCAGGAAATGGCACTGTTAACATTTAGGGATGCAGCCATTGATTTTACTGAAGAGGAGTGGGAATGCCTTCAGCCTGCTCAGAAAAATTTATATAGAGACGTGACGCTAGAGAACTATAGAACCTTTGCCTTTCTGGGCATGAGTCCTAATCATATGCAAAATATTCACCAGAAAAGGGCCTAAAACATATATTTCATGAAGTGATAAGTGCAAAATATAGAAGTTGTGATCTCGACTATTTACCACAAAAGAAAATATGGAAAACTACCAGTGAGAGTGAACACCAGAAATCATATTAAAAAATCAGGCCTTGCTCACCACCAGAGAATTTATACTGGAGAGAAGCCCTACAAAAATAAAGAATGTTGCAAAGCTTTTACTAAAAAAAAAAAAAAAAAAAAAAAAAGGTCTCATTTACCACAGAGGAACCCACAATGGAGAAAAGCCCTACAAATGTAAAGAATGTGCCAAAGCTTTTGGTCAAAAATCACACCTTATTTGCCACCGAAGAACTCACACTGGAGAGAAGCCCTTCAAATGTGCAGAATGTGGCAAAGCTTTCCATCAAAAATCACACCTTAATCGCCACAGTAGAACTCACACTGGAGAGAAGCCCTACAAATGTAAAGATTGTGGCAAAGCTTTTGGTCAAAAATCAAACCTTATTTGCCACAGGAGAACTCACACTGGAGAGAAGCCCTACAAATGTACAGAATGTGGCAAAGCTTTTCATCAAAAAATAGACCTTATTCATCACAGCAGAACTCACTGGAGAGAAGCCCTACAAATGTACAGAATGTGGGGCTGGGGTTGTACTTCAGTGGTACAGTGTTAGCCTCGCATATGTGAGATCCTGGGTTTGATTCTCAGCACCACATAAAAATAAATAATTGAAGTAAAGGTACTGTGTCCAACTACAAGTAAAAAATAAACATTAAAAAAAGAAAGAATAAACCTTATTAACAACAGAATTTATACAGAAAAGAACCCCTACAAATTGAAACAATGCAGCAAAGCTTTTAATAAGAAATCAATTATTTTCACCACTAGGCTACTTATTCTGGCAAGAAGACATCTAAATGTAGAGAATGTAGAAACATTTTAAAATATATATCATATATTACTAGACATCAGAGAAAACACACTGGAGAGAAGCTCTACAAATGAGACCATTGTACCATTACTCTAAGAAAGGGACAACATTTAATCCTCCCCACAATAACCATAGCGTAGAGAAAGTTTTCAAATGTGAAAATACAAATGGAAAAAAAAAATTGTACATACTGTCTCTTAAACACTGCTTACTTTTGGAGAATTCATGGTGCCCAGAAACCCTAAAAAATTAAATAATATATCCAAAATGTAAAAAAAAAAAAAAAAAAAAAAGTACTGGGGATGGGACTCAGTAGTAAAGTGTTCTTAGGTTCAATTCCCAGTACAAAAAAAAAAAAAAAAAAAAAAAGATTCTAGAATCCAGCCAGACAATTCGGCTTAGTGGGATTGGCAGAGCATGGCCCACCAGCCCGTCCAGACACCACCTTCCGGATGTTAACTCTTACGGGGCCAGGTGCGGGGGCACACTCCATGATCCCAGCGGCTCAGAGGCTGAAGCAGGAGGATGGCAGGTCCCAGGCCACCCTGGGGGACTTAGTGAGGCCCTGCTTCAAAAAAAGAAGATTTTAAAAAGGGCTGGGGATGTAATATTATATATACACACATATATCCCCAGTGCCAAATATATTTTTTCAGGAAGA